CCGAGTACCATAACTGAAGTCATAGAAAAAATCTTATATGGAGTATGCATTTTAAATAATTGGGATGAAAATCCAAAGTTACGTAAATCTAATAATTCGGAAGACATGGCGATATGATCTATTACTATAATTTCCCTACAAGAGCAGAGTAAAATAACTAATTCCACTAGTAGAGGGCAAAATTTATGAACCAAAAGTGTTTAAATAATTCTATGGAAGAATTTAGGGGGTAGTATTAAATACAAACATTAGTCGAAATAAAGGCTCAGTTCAAAAAAAACATTTGGCATCTATTGATTAGCGAGTAACTCGTTTATAACCTCAGATGAGCCTAATTTCGATCTACTTGGAAGCCAAATGGAAAGCATCTGGAATATTGGTCATGCTCACAGGAAAAGAATGAAGCTTTTAAGTGTGTTTATCCAAAAACTGCGACACACTGACTTGCTATAACTTTAGAGGCACCTATTTGCTATCAGTAACTAGGGCACAGTTCATTAGTATCTGAAAAATTTGAAGCATGCCCTCTTTGGGAAGTTTATAACATGGTGACATCAGAAATTCTTCAGCATAGTTGGTTAAGATGATTTTAGGAATTGTAATTACGATTTTCTACGATGATATGAGTATACCCAACAATGCCACTGAAGTTCACTTAGCTTTGCATCTCAACAGCTTTCCTAATATAGATTGGACTAAGGTTGTGAGCCTGTCTGCGCTAATTTCACACCCTCTGACGGATTCGGAAACAGATTGTATGCATCTACCATGTAAGAATTGAAAGCAAGCCTATGATTTCATGACCATCTATTTTTGGACTTTTCAGAGACGATTGAGTGCTACTAGTTGGAAGCAGTCGGAGCCTTGTAATTATTCTGAAAACGGTTCAATGAAGAGCAATGGTACTAGGAGAATGACAATGATGAAGCAAAAACAATTCTTTGGATGATAATGGGATGATTACAGTGATTGGCTCAAGGGGACATTTAGCTTTATTGCATTACTACTTTTCCAAATTACAAGCAAATCGTCTAAAAAATTGTTTTAAATTCAGCCTAGTATACGAGGCCATTCGGTACAGGTTTTGAGTGCTGCTAAGTCCATTTAAGGCAATATTTTCATTTCGGGTGCAATTCATTCATAGAAAAATTGTTCATTAAAGGGTCAAAATCATAAGAAAAGAAATCTTCCGAGCACTCTCATACCGAATATGTCTTTAGGTCTACAAAAGTAACCTAGTGCATGTTTTTCTGTCAAACACACTGTCTGGAGCTATGATTAGTTGGATTTGGTTTTGCGTTCGCCCTGCTCTAATACAAACTCCTCGAGGTTAAAGAATACACAAGGGTACGTTCTATGCTAAAAACCGTGACTTCTGTTAAACACATTCTTCCAAGTTCGAATGATTAAAAAAAGAAATATTCCATCCTTTTCTTGTAGCCATTCGCATTTATTTTTTATAAATGTCTAATCTGGGCACTTGGTATTGTCTGGAAAAATGGTGATACGAGAACTGAGGTGGGGAGATACTTCATTCCCCTTAAATTAGACTATAAAAAAGGGGTACATACAAAGAGTTTATTGTCTTCAAACAAGTAGGAGCCTAAATTCAATGCATTTAACGAAAGGTCCTCTGCTTCTGAGGATTTTTTGGGGGGTGGTGGTGCATAAACAAGTCAAAGTAAATACAAACCTTTGCTACATTTTTTTTCGTTTATAAGCAGAAATTTTGCTACATACTTTTTAAGACAGTTAGGCATGAAAGACAGCCCAGTTCAGCCTTGTTAGCTTTATTTAGGGTAGATATTTTCTGCTGACATTAAAGTTCAGAAAATATATTTTTTTGTAGGACATTTTGGGAATGTATGCAGCTTAGGGGATATTATGCATCATTGTGCGATCCACTCGTGTGGAGTACTGTTGAGGTACAAGAGGCGAAGTTGTAAAAAATTTAGCTCTTTGTCTAAAGAAAAAGAACATTCTTTCTTAGAGGCTGCATAAAACCGGTATTGAATAACTGAGCTCACCTATGGCAAATGATGCCTTCAGCTCTTAACAGGAATCCGAAGTCTTAGATACTTTATTTAGTTGTGATGTTTAACAAACATGTAATGACATAGTTATAATGAGGCAATACAAGCAATGTAGTATGGTTGGTGAATGCAATTCCTTTAAAGACAATCTAACCATATATATGAATTAAGAGGGGCCTGGAAAGCCATTGAAGTCTCATCTGCCCCGATTCTCATCTCGAGTGAAAGTGTATCATAAAGAAATTCAAAGGTCGATATACATAGCATTTAGAGCTAAACAAGCTTGAATATGGTTGTAAGAATGATACTCTATTTTGAGTATCCCCACCATATAAGTTACGAAAGCTTTCAAATTTTCACCAGAACGAAAGGTGACTGTCTCGGTGACCGTTCCAGCAAAAATATTCCAGTAAAGCCAAACGACAATTGGTTAAGAGTAATCCACTGTCATCCTCTACCAAAATCGACCTTCCAATTTCTTCATAACACTCTTTCACTAGAAATGAGAGTGAGTTTAACAGATTCCTTGAAACACAACTTTTCTCTGCAATTAACGATTATTAGGCGAAGTCGAAATCGAATTTTATCCCAGATAAATACACCGTTTTGGAGACAAGGCTAAGGCAAATTCATTTGTATCATGAGGTCTACATATTTCATTTTATGAAATTTATTCTGTCGTTACTTAAATCACACTAAGCGACTTATGGTGACTTAATTCTTATTTAAAGATTACTTAATATTTTGAAGCATGTATATTTCGGGCCATGAACAATGCAAATTTGACTCACTAAAATGCCAAGTAAAGTCAGAGTTACTATTTTGTCTAAATTAAATATTACCGTCGCAATATAACTATTCTTCCTCAAATATAGTAATAGCCTTATATTGCATCATATTCGATTCGCTCAGACTTGATCAGTTTATTTTGCCACTGATTTCCCTACAGACTCCGACAGGGTGGTGAAGTACTGTCGCAAAGCATCCACCGCGACCGTCGTCGAAAAGGGCCACCCACAGGCTTGGCCTCCGTAGCCAACTTGTTGAGAAGAGAACAAGAACATGAGAGACCGGCTAGCAATGATTCACAAACAGACGCCTCTGTTACTACTATGGCCTCCACGGCGTGCTCCCATTCGGCCTCCGCTGATACCATCTCTACATCTACCATTGAGAAGCCTGGTTGCGTATCAGAGCTTGCCGAAAAATGTGGTACTTCCAATTTCCTGTTCAGTCAAGATAGGAAACAAGGCTCCTCTACAAGCCTAGTTGACAGCAGAACAGATTCGGCAGCTCCACTGCCCGAGTCTGCTAGCCAGCCGGATTCTTCGGAGGTGAACAATTCAGCCGTGGAGGAAAAGCCTACAGGATGCAAGGTCACCTTATTAGTACAAGAGGGATCTAATGTCAGAGTAAGTGAAGGTTTATGCACCTCGAGATCAAGTATCCAACTAAGGGGTTCATTCCCAAGCCAACTCGTCCGATAAGTCTAAAGCAAATTACATTTTATGTATAAACAACACCGTCACATTTTCAAATTTTAGCAGTGAAAACACTTGAAGAAAAACTCTTAGAGTGGTACATTCCGAAGCTTTTAATCAATCTTGTTGGATAAGTTAGTTTCGTTGAAACTTTGGAAGGCTTTAGATGTAAACGCAATGCTTAACATTTAAACGTAGTACAAATTTAAAGTAAAATATTTAAAGATATTCTTGGAGCCCAACAATTTTTGACTTATCTTCTCATGTGATATG